AGCAGCAGGAGGAGGAGGAGGACGAGGAGGAGTATTAGTAGTAGTGTTAGTGATAGGAGTATAAAAGCATAAGATTTTTGAGATTGAAACAGCCAGAGTAGGACTAGTATTGACAGAAAAGCAGCAATCACACGAATAGCAAAACATATCATAAGAATAGTAGCAATGCAGGTAGAAGCAATAAATGCAACAACGGTTAAATAATGTAGTTAAATAATGTGGCAATAACATGAAAGAATATATAGGGAGCAGTTATACTTTTAAGAGTACTAATCATACTGAGTCATAGTGAGACTGAGACTGAGAATGTAATAGCGCGGCCACCGGCACTATCGGCACCACCGCCGCTGGCAACATGACCAACAGCTCTCAGCAGCAACGGTGACAAAACCGACCTTGGCTTCACAGCCAGACTGTCAGACCATTGAACAAAGTGAGTGGAGTGGTCCAACTTTCCTCTGTCGGTCATCAGCGGCTGATCGACTGCCAGGTGGTCACCGACCAGAGCCAGATAGACTAGATAGGCACACGCACCTTGCCAGTGCCAACGGGCGCAAAAGCTATGAAGATCCCCTCTCAGCACCATACAGGTTTCCTTAACCGACGAGATAAAGACATGAGCCTTAGTTTAAACCAAAGTCTTAGTTCGACAGGGCTGCGACACCGGGCCACTACCTTCGAGAGGCCGGTGGAAAGAGAGTTACACGCGCGAATTTCAGCGGCATGTCGAGACCGTTTCAGTCTCAAGCCCAGGCTGCGACGCCACCTGCCAGGTCCGGGTAGGTCAGGCTGCGCAAGCTTGTGCAGATGCATGTCGGTGCAAACACATGCACGTGAAACTCCCCATATCATCTCAATCAGAAAGTCAGGAGGCCAGACGACCCCTTCAGCCTAGCGTTCAAACGACCTCCGCCCGGTTCTGTAGTCAGCTCGCGGGCACAACTTTAGAGCTTCAATGTTGATCCTTCCTGTGGAGTCTTCAAGAATTGATCTTCTAGCCAGATTTTGCTCCAGCAGTATCACTTTCAGTGTATCAAGTTTTGCTTCGGCTGGATGCGATGTGAGTATCGTCCAGTCCGTATGAAGATCTTGATTTTTGAAGCCACGCGAAGCGTCATAATTTGATGCCACTCTTTAATTTCTCATTCGGATCGATGCGAAGCCTCAAACCCAAACGCCGACGAAAAAGGAGACATCACCAAGATGCCTCTGCGGAGAGCCAGGCTGGACATGCGCTCGACCACAAGGCCAAGGCGAGGAGGCCGCGCACAGTTTGGAGCCTAGGGTGTAGATGAGCGTTTAGGGGATAGGCATCAACAAAATCAGATAGGGATGAACAGAATCAACCCGGGATCAAAAGACATCACATAAACACTCACAAACTGCTCTTTCTCTCTCAAAGAAAACAAGGAAGGGAGCAAGGACGGGGCGTGTTGAAGATATTTGATGAATCGAAATCGCCACGAGGAGGCACGTTGAAGATATATGATGAACCGAATCGCCACATTGGATGACACCTACCTCTACTGCCGGTTCTAGTGCGACCCCAAGCAGTCTGTCACTGGTACCGCGTTTCCCTGTTTGATTTTTAGACCCATCGTTGATTTTGTTTTGACAAACTTGGTCATTTTGATTATACTCCCCCAGGAAATATGGCATTCTGTTTTTGATCCCTAATTCGTTTGATTTGTTTTGGAATCCCAGGCATTTGTTCTTTTTGAAATCTGCTTGATTTTGATCCCTCAGCAAGTGTTTAAGGGATTAGAGAGCCTCCCGTGCATTTCCATATCTCCTAGGTGTGGCAGGACGTTGGGATTGATTTCCGTCTGTTTCGGGAGTTGGCATCTTGTGGAGGCAGCTGGGTTTCGGTTGTCATGCGAGAAATGTGTTTCCAGTAGACTCGCTCGCTTTTGCAATGTCCGCGGAAAAAAGTTGCTCTGCTACAATCTGCTACACCTAGAAAAGGGCGTCCCGCCAGACCTACGAGGAAGGAACAGGGCGTGGTTCGTCGGGGTTGTTTTTGTTTAGTCCTCCAATGAATGCGAAGGTCTGCGTCCCGGTTTGTGGCGATGGCATCCTCTCGACACCCATGGAAGAATGCGACGACATGAACCTGCAGCGGAGCGCTCAAAGGCCCTAGGCCCCATTCTCCCAACACCTATAAAGCCTAAGTCACACAGACCGAGGCCAGGCGATGGATGCAGCCCAGATTGCAAAGTGGAGGCCGGTTTGCCACTTCCCGGAACCCAGCTCGCAGACTTCTCAAAAGACTTGTGATACTGAGCCTGATTACTATAGGATGCCAAAGAGCCACTACGTAAGGTACCCCTAAGTTGTTGAAATCACCATATTCACCCTATAGAACCTTGTTGTCTGAAGGCCTTCTTCGAGCTGGCAGCTTAGATTTTTTCCTCTCGGTGGTTGGGCAGATTTGCGAAGGATCTTCTTCAGGTGCACCTATGATGACTTCTGGCTACGCTCCGTCTGCAAGGTGCACTGCGGGGCTGGAGCCTAAGCAATGTCATGCATACGTCCATCAGAATCCAGAAGGTGGGAAGACACGTTTTCATTCCTTCGCAGCGAGGTGAGAAGCGCTGCAATGCGCCGCGTTGACATCTCTGCTCAAGACATCCGTCTTGGTTTTGTTTATGGCGCGATGGCGAGTTCATCAAATGTGCCGTCTGCGCCACTGGTAACTGATGAGTCTAGAGGCTCTAGCAACTCACATGGCCATGGTTCAGCTTGCCCCGGATACGAGGGTATGCGTGAGGAGCTCGCTGAAAACCTGCGTCTTCATCAGAATGGTACCTGCCGTCCTTGTGTTGCATTCGCGTTTCGAGAGGGCGGCTGCTTCAAGGGCGAGATGTGTTCCCACTGCCATTTCTGCACAGCCGAAGAAGCTGCTGAGAGAAGGAAGCATCTGCAGTCCATCGCGAGACGACGTCGAAGGATGCGACGACTGGAAGCCGAACTCAATCAGGGGCACGAGCAGGAGCATGGTCACAGAGACAGAGACTTGCAGGCCTTACCGCAAGAGCCCGGTAGGATGCTTGGTGGATGCGTCGGATGCGCCTCAAATGCCCCGACAGAAGGCAACGGCAATTACCAGGTGTCGCACCTTTCTCAGGTGCCACTCTCGGCCCTGTCCCTGCCACCTCCGTCGGGAATTCCCTGGACATATCAAGACTTAAACCCATGCCATCCTCCCCTTGCTGGATTGGGCGAGTGGTACCCATGGCAGCCGCAGTCAGAGGCTCCCGGGCAAGAAAGGCAGGCCCGGGCCCTCGCAAATCCTGACGAGAGTCCCACACTGGGAAATCAGTCCTTCTGGCTCTAGTTAGGTTGGTCCATGTTGGTGGCTTCGGAAGCTGACACCGAAATGGACACTGTTCTATTCATTTGTAATTCAGTTTCACCCATGTCTTTATGAAGGCCATGCCACACTCCTTTAAGTGGAGTCCGGCATCACTACCATAGCTTTCGCCTGTGTCCGCACTTACAACCCAGCAGGCGCCTGGCCTCAGGGTGTGGGCGGCGCACGGTAAAACCCAATCAGATCCGAGCAACTCGGACCGAAAAGGAACCGCCTTGAAGAAGTGCCGGAAGCTGTCTCTGCCTTGTGCCTTGTGCCGCCGGTTAAGAGGATTCTGCCACAATTCTCGACTTGGAAGGATGGACGCAAGCACCCGTCGGAAGCCTGCGACGACGGGAACGTCTGGGATGAGGCGCGATGTGAAAAACAAAGTCGGTGGTACAGAATGAAAGGACCGAAGGGCTAGGACGAAGACATGCGCTCTGTGCTTCTCAGATCAGGATGGCTGCTCCTCCACCTGCGAATCCGAAGCTGGCTTTGAGTGCCTAGGCGGTGCTTTGACCTTGCCGCCAGGTGCCAAGAGCTTTGCAGGGTTTATTAAGGTGCCACGACATGGCCTCGGCATGCCTGGCTCAGGTCAACGTGCACTCCTATCTGTGGTGATGGCTATCAGGCGCCCACGTCATCGCCGCTGAGGTTTCTGTTTTCGATGAATCCGGAGGTCTTTGGAGAGGGCTGCGATGATGGGAATCAGAACCCCTGGGACGGCTGCGATCAATTCTGTCAGGTGCTGTGCTCGTCGGTCGTGGGGCTGTGCTTTCTGATCTCCTGAAGTCTTGAACTCTTGCAGGTGGAGCAAAGCTACCACTGCACCCGCGCACCGAAGCCTGGCCAAACAGGCACAGAGAGCAACCAAGTGACGTGACGCGCATAGGCCGAAGGCGGAAAAGGCCGGAGGTCGGAGGTGCCGAAGGCGATGCAAGCGCAGGGGCCGCTTCCGCATGCTCGCCAACCTGTGGCGATGGTCTGCTCAACGGCGAAGAGGCTTGGGGAGTGGGCCGGGCCGCCTTGGACCTCGGTTGGGATGCGACGAAATTGCAGACTCACGCGGATGCAGGAGTGCGACGGCAGCTACAGCCCTCTTCCAGGCAAGGCAAGTCCTTTCCAGAGCCCAATCGGTGTTGCACGAGATGCCTCAGGCAACGCATCGGAGCTGCCTGTGCCGACCCCTCGGATGGGGTCGAAGGCAAAGAAGAGATCAAGGTTCAGGATTTTCTCTCGTGCAGGCCTTGCTCGATGTGCAGGCTGTTGGCGGTGGATGTCTGAAGCTAAGATTCCGAATGAATTGTGCATGCTTTTGTTTGTCTACCTGTATGTCTGCCTGGTCCATCGGTATGTACGCACATGTGGACCGCATCAGCCCTTGCCAGACCTTCAACTCAGGTTTGTGGTGACTTCCGACGCGGCCCAACAGAACAGTGCACCTTCCCAAGCCGGGACCGAAATTGCTTCCTGTACCAATATGCATTGGGATTTCAGGAGCAGTGTGAAAGCACCGAATCTGATGCAAAGGATGATGATTCACGACCGGAGTTTTTCTAGGAATGTCCAGCTCTTGATACCGTGATACCGCCACTGTCTTGATTCAGTCTCTTGCATCACTAGACCCGTTTTAAGACGAGTCAGGAAGCGCAGGGGCAGATTTTGTCTTATTGGTCGTTTGGCTTTTGGAAGTCTCTAGTTTTGGCTTTGCTGTGGACATGCCTGGCCGTCCAGGTATTCTCGGCCTGGCAGTGTTTGAGCAGGGATGGGTGTTGGAAGCCCTCGGACTCGAACCGGCGCATTGGGACCATGATTCCAGGTGATGATGGCAACAATGCAAGCGGAGACGGTTGCAGCTCGTCTTGTGACCTGGAGACAGGCACCCTTCCTGCTGCAATTCGGTCTTGAGTTCGTTAAGTTCCTTATGTGTGCTGGCAGCGCTGTCGTCATGCTCATCGCCTTGCCCCTCCTCTTCCTAACTGCCAGTCTGCTTGTGGCAGTGATGGTGACGTGGCGAATGGACAGCAGAACTGCTACCCCTTCTTTCTGAATAGAACTCAATGTTGGAGAGGGAGGAAGAGCACCACTATTGCTTATTCCTACTGCAAGAACAACGACAACAATAGCCATCGCTACTGCTGCTGCTGCTGCTGCTGCTACTACCACCACCACCACCACCGCTGCTGCTGCTGCTGCTACTACTACTACTACTACTGCTGCTGTACTCCTGCTGCTGCTGCTGCTACTGCTACTGCTACTGCTGCTACTACTACTACTACTGCTGCTGCCCTACTGCTTCTACTGCTTCTACTACTTCTACTACTTCTACTACTACGACGACGACTATGACTGCTACTACGACGACGACGACGACGACTACTACTGCTACTACGACGACGACTATTACGACGACGACGACAACGACGACGACGACGACTACTACTACTACCACCACCTCACTACCCGTCTACCACAAAAAAAGCACTATCACATTACTACACTACCACACTACCACACTACCAACCTACCACACTTTCACATGCCACACGACCCCACTACCACACTGCCACACTACCACACTACTATGCTACCACACTACTACACTAGCACGCTAGTACGCTACCACTGCCACCTCCTCCTCCTCCTCCTACTACTACTACTACCACTACTACTACTACCACGACGACTACTACGACGACTACGACGACTACGACTACTACGACTACTACTACCACGAAACTACCATAACCACTACCACTACCACCACGACCACTACCACCACGACCACTACCACTACCACTACCACTACCTGTACCGCTGCCACTGCCACTGCCACTGCCACTGCCACTGCCACTACCACTACCACTACCACTACTGCCGCTGCTGCTGCTGCTACTACTGCCTCTGGCTTTTCCACGACCTCCACCATGTGAGTCGGCTACGCCCCAGCCCCCCACACCCACGCCCACGTCCACCAACAGCACCAACAACACCGACACCACCTACACCACTTACACCAATGCTGAAAATCAGCATGTAAAGCTAACATGGCCAGGCTGGAGCTGTTCGCAAGGCCCGAGTCACCTGGCGCCAGGAGTAGCTCCAGGCGGTCTGGGACTGCAGCTTTTGCCCATGAACACCCTCCCTATCCATGACTTCTCCCCTTCCTTTCCCAGCTCTTTTCTGGAGCTTGTCACTCCCTCACTCTCTCGATAGTGATCCCTCCACCCCAAGTATTCACTACCTATTTCTTTGCATCTGTGACTGTGACCGCAGGCGATACCTGCAAGGCCATTTGTGGCGACGGCATCGTTGTATCTACGGAGGTGGCTGTTCTGGCATTGTGGTGCTGTAGGCAAAGCTAGAGATTTAGTGGCGCAGCTGTCATACTTTCGAAGGCTTGCTGCTTGCTGCCAATCTCCTCCCCCTTCGTCTCTCGCTCGCTCTATCTATCTCTCTCTCTCTCTCTGTCTCTCTCTCTCTCTCTCTTATCTTTTCTCTCTGCTTTTCTTTTTCGTTCTCTACCTCTCCATGTCCCTCTCAGTGCCCCGATCTCCGATCCCTCAATCCGTCTCTCTGTCTTTCCCTTTCTCTCGCTCTCGCATTTGAAATGTTTCGTCTTTGCTTGCTCCTGTTTTGCAGTTGCCAGTTCCCGTAGACTTTATACTCGCAGCAGCCATGACGGGATCCGCTCTGGCGCGAGGCTTGCGATGATGGAAACCTTCGCGGCGACGATGGCTGCACCGGAGACTGTCGCGCTGGCACCTCAAGCGAGTGAAGAATATGATTCTGAAGGATCTGGGCGAAGGATTCCTGAAACGCACAGCCACGGACGACCAACATCCAACATCTAGGGTAGCCCCACGCAGTCCCCAGGCCCTGGACTCCTAGACCCTTAAAGCTCAATTCAGAAATCCTTAAACCCGAAAAATCCCAAGTGTCCCCAAACCCTAAAAACAGCAGGCTGGTAGATGCCGAGTGAGAGTTCGTGCCGACACCACAAGACCATCACGAAAAGAAAAATTGCAGACTGGCCGAGGTCGAAGCACTCTTCCAGTGCTTCAGACCAGGTGCAGCTCAGCTCCTGGAGGCCAGGATTTTGCAAAGCTGTTTTGTTCGAAGTTTACGAAGAGCTTCTGGTTCTTTTTATGCCGGAGTCTTCTACGGGGTTCCTACGTAGTTTGTGCCAATGAGCTGGTAGACGCGAGAGTGTTTTGTTTTCTCATTGACCGTATCGCTTTTTCAGCCGCGGGAAGTCGTGCTTAGACTTCTGACCTCGCATTGCCGAGTGCCCAAAAGCGCGGTCAATAGAGCTGCATTTCTAGGAGGACACCAGTGTGTGTCACAGTCCATGAGTTATAGTAACACCATGATTCGCGAGCTAGAGTTTCCTGATTCCTGTCCCGCACAGTGGGGCGAGAGATGCCGGGGGGTTCAGGGGCTTGGAAAGCCTGCCAAAGCTCCAAGCCATACAGATGCTTCCCTAAACAGCACAAGCAATGCTTCTTCAAGTGGAGCCTTGCCTCGTTACTACGCGGTGTTTATTGCTTGATTGTTGGCTGAATTTGCTGTTGATGGCATGTCTGTCGGTCCTGATCTGCTGTGCTTATCGCTAACCCTGATGGCAGGTGCCAGAGTCCGCCCGGACCAACCGAGGGCCCACGGCTTCTGTTTGTGCTGTCTACTCAGTTGGCAATAAGTTGTCTGTTTCGGTGCATGTCTGGATTGTGGGACTTGAAGCACTTAAATGAAACGTGGAGTTGAGGTTCACGGGGCCTTGACATGCAGCAAGTTCCAAGGTCAACACCAAGCCACCGCGATTCGTTGGGGCCCACTTCGATGAAGCCTTCGTGTCGCTGGAGCTCAACTTCGACAGCAATGTTGTGCCGTGACAGCATGGAGTCAGCATGACTAGGGCTAGGGCTGAAACAGTGGGTTTATGCCGGAGGTTGAAAATTTCAATGTGTGGGTATGTCATGGGTGCTCACTGGTCTGGAGTGTCCCTGCCTCTGTTTGGCCATCACGGGCCCGGCAAGACCGAAGCCATTAGCAACAACCTGGTCATGTCAGATACTGTGGGATGAACCAACGAGAGAGCTGGGACAGCTGGGATTTTGTCAAGCTGCATTGAATCAAGGGAACGTGGACAAGAAAGCGAAGCGAACCTGACAACAAAATTGCTTTCTGTAAGGCGGCCCTGGCATCAGGCTTGACAGAAAGACGTGTGCGGCAGTTGATGTAACTGTCTGTGTCATGAGGTGCCGCTGCACATGGGCGTATTTTGGGCAAACGAAAGGGACTTTATACGAACCAGTAAAATGTTGAATGGGGGAGGCAAATGAAGGGGACTATGGGAAGCATAGTGCCCAAGCCCAGAATACGCACAGATTTCGTCCGGGAGGAGGCAGGAATTGCCGAGAATCCGGCGGCATGAAATGCCCAAACCTCAAGTTCATGGGGGCAAGCCAGAAAGTGTTCAAAATTCGTCCATTGTAACAAAGACATGCCCGCCTGAAGTCTAACTGGTGAGGGTTTTCTGGCGCGTATCTTTTTTTTTCGTTTTGGAACGCCGTTGAATGTAGTGGAGTGCTGGCAAAAGCTCTCGGGTTTAGACTCCTGCAGCTACGGTCGTACGAGCTCCCACGGTTTTAAGGCGGGTTGAAGCGTCAATTGCTTCGGCCCTTGGTCGTGGTGCTCCAAGGCGCCTCTGCCCGGCGAGGCTGCCGCCTGCATCCTCGTCTCGTCAGCGGTACAGAAAACGAGGGGTCACGCCTTCTAAAGGGGTTCTTGATGGTTCTTGTGTTCTGGATCCGGCCATTTGGGCTATCAAAACGAAAGGGATGGCTTTAAATTCTGAATCTCTTAGGTTGACATGAATATAGCAGTACGTAGTACGAGTGTGACGAGAGCCGAGATTACCAGTGTAAGCCACGTTGCTAGCGACGATACTAGAAGAGCAACGGGTTGTATGTGCCATTACTGACAGTGATGGGAGTCGACTCGAGGTCATGGTGCCCATGCCACACATACCTTAGGGCCTTTGTGATACGAGCCTTACAGCCACTTGCATCTTGCGAGACTGCAAGGAGCATTCCGGTGGTGTGGCTACGGCCGTTCCAGCCTTTCCATGCGAGGTGCAGAGCTTTTACGATAATTATCTGCGAGTGTCCTGACTCTCGCCGCACAGCAGGTCCTGCTTGATCCGCAAACTCTGTTGCCCAGCTCTCGGTTCTTGTCAGCTTGTCGGTTGTAGTTGTCAGACGCTCTGCCAACAACGCTTCAGAGTCTTTGCGACAACAAGGCTGTTTGATGGCACGGTTTCACCATTGCGTCATGAGGTCATTCACTTCCCCGCTTATGAGACTTGGAATGGGTGATCAGGTTGCTCGGGGACGAGCCCAGCTGCTGGTGGAAGTCCCGTCAGTCTGCGGCTGTGGCCATGGGTGGCAGCCTAGGCCGACCGGTGAATGACTTTGGCCAGCAAGCTACGCTTCATCGTGCCTTTGTGCGTCAGAGATGCTCTTCTCCAACAGTTTGCAGGCATACTGCCCGGCAGTGGGGTCTTGCTCAAGGCAGGGACGTCATCATGAAGTGCCTGGCCAGTTCGATTGCAACCGCAGAGCGCGCAGCGTAGATGCATCCATAGAACCTGAGGCGGGCGTGTTGCGAAGCTACACTTTCGCGAACGAAGCTGCGCCGGCACAGGTGCACATCGTACCGGCGCTGAGCGCATATTCTCTGAATGCGACGCGGCGCCAGGAAGTGAAGGCAGATGTTCCTGGAGGTTTCATCGCTCCTGTGTTGTGGCCCAGGCACGTCCGGCCAAAGCCCTCAAGGGCTGAACAGGATTCGCCTTTCAAGTTTACACTGCTTTGCATGGTTTCCTGTTTCATGTCTCCCCTTGACCATTGCAGGTTTTAGGTAACTCATGGTTTCCTCATATTCTTGCGAGATAAGTGCTGCAGCCAGTCCACGCGACGAAGGCCCATCATCACCGGAGCACAGATGGCCGTTGACTTAACTAGGTGGTCAGCTTCGACTTCGATGTTTTGTGAATGTCTTGGTTGCACCCAGACACTTGTGGCGTAACAATGGTTTCGCACAGAAGCTGCGCCCTGCCCAGCAAGACCTTATTGAGAGTTGGAATCGCCTTGACCTGAACGATCTCGCAGCAGGAGAGCTTTGAGAACACAACATCCCAAGATTCAACTTTGCCCACGAACTCTGTTGGGTTTCGCGCTTGAACGTCACCCCACCCCGGCGTGAACTACCCATAGATGTGGTAATTTTCCCTCAGCACCTCTGCCTAGGCTCCGGCCTGTGCTGATGTCACTGTTCTGAGCTCCGAGTACAGCCAGGGCTTTGCTGGCCGCATGGCCATGCCTCCTCGTCGCGGCCCTGGGCGTGGAGCTGACTTGGAGTTTTGCATAAGTCACTCCAGCCTCACCCATAAGATCCCCATGTGCGACAACCCTCCCTCAAAAATCAAAGCCGAGGCTGGGCGGTAGTAGCGGCCTTCAACATGACAGCTGCTTCCTGGGACTCTGCAGAAGTTGAACGCATACAACGTGGAATGGAGATGCAGTTTCAGGATGCTGAGGTCGATGGCTAAGCAACGTGCTGTACTGACACCGATGCCACGCCGTATCTCGGCGCTGATTGTGCGGGAGTTCGCTTTGGCCGAGGTGTACCTGCCACGACAGGGAGTTTTGCTGAGCCGCCAGCTTAGCCACCCTCATCGGCGACTCCACCGATGCAAGGGAGTTTCAGAAGAAGAGCTTGCAACTGTAATGTTCGTGTTAGCTTATGACCCATCGTGACCTTTGGAATAAATCTGTAAAATCTGGTGTGCGTGCAAGACATGTCCCAGAGCGCTCAAAGGCGTGCGCAATTTCGATCAGTCGGCAGTCAGCTGCAGGTCTCCTGGACCTGGAGTTCGATCGTAGCATTCGCGCCCGCAGCTTGGAGGGTTTGTTCGAGTTTCCCTTGTGACGACGATCCAGATCTCATCATTTCAGCCCCATGCGCTCTGCGATCGAGAACATTGCAGGTTGGATTCATCTACCGCATTTGCCTTCGTCAGCAAAACATGCTGGACCTCGTTGGCATCGGCTGCCACAACCTCGAGGTGCCAGCATGGTCTAAACCCTACACCCCGGAACTCGAAACCTTCGTTTCCTTTTTGGTTCCAAATGCATCCGCCAGATCAACGAGCTGCCGATCCCGCGTGTGGTAACTGCTGCTTCTCCGTTGCAAGTTAAAGCTTGTTGATTGAGTAGGCTGGAGGCAGACGGGCAAGCCAGGAGCCTCCCAATACTTTGCACGCCTTTGTCTCTCGAGGGACACACGCACGTACAACACACACCATGTTTTCTCCGGGTCCTAGGCATGCGGGACGGGAGCTGTAGATTCTAGTCAATTAGTTTTATAAACTCTCGCCGAGGTTCCACAGTACCCGATGGCGCTCAAGGAGGGGCGGTGGCCGGTCTCCTACAGCAGCTGTCATGTTGAGCGGCTATGATGACTGTTGTTTCATTTGTTGTCATCGTCGTCGTCGTGGTGGTGGTGGTGGTGGTGGTAGTTAGTAGTAGTAGTAGTAGTAGTAGTAGCAGCAGTAGTAGTAAGAATAATAGTAGCTGTGGTAATTAGTGGCAGAGGTGGTGGCGATGGCGGTGGTGGTGGTGGTTCTGGTGGCAGTAGTAGGTGTAGCAGTAGCGGCAGCAGCAGCAGGAGCAGGAGCAGGAGCAGGAGCAGGAGCAGGAGCAGCAGGAGCAGGAGCAGGGGTAGGGGAAGGGGTAGGAGTAGAGTAGTCATGAGTAGTCGTGATATGTCGTAGTGGTAGTGGCAATGGTAGCGGTAGTGGTAGTCGGTCCGCCGCAACGAGTCTATGTTCCACCGGTCCTACTGGTGGGCATCGCACTTCGATTAAAAGCACGGCTTTAAGTGTAATTCGCTGAATATGGTTCGTTTGCGTTGTCGGTGGTACAAAACGTGCATTTCTGGAGCACAGCCATTGACAGCCATTGCCGACCATGTATTGAGGAAGTAGCCTGAACCATGGGAACCGGGTGCTATGTGAGCCGTATGTGGTAGATCAATACTGGGTGGGGACTATGATGGGTGAATGTTCCAAACCTCGAGACTAGGATGCTAGTCATCAGGTGGTCGCAGTTTACTTCAGATTGCCGAGCTAGCGTTGTGTGGGCGGTGCCGTGCTAAGGTTGCAGCTGGAAGTCAAAGCAGAGCTTCCAGAGGTGCCTTCTCGGAAGGGGCTCTTCTGCTCTTCTCGCGGGCCTCTGCCTGGTGTGAACCCGTGCACTTGGGCATGTCGCAGACTTTGCGGGTGTGGGGTGACACGAGGGAGTGAATTGATGAGCACACTTTGTCCGAAGCGAGGGATGAAAGCAACCAAGGTTCCAACTTTCTTATTTTCTTGAGCAAAGAGAGAGACGGACCGGTTTCCATCCAGCAGACCCTCCAGACTGAGTCTCAAGCCGGGAAATCACGAGGGCCCGCGAGGGGCCGAGGCATTCGAATTTACTACAGAAACGAGAAGCACCTCGTGCAGGAGAGGGGCAAGAGGATGAGCAGGAGGAACAAAGCACTGATTGTTGAAATGGTTTTGGACATGCCCGGATGACCGGGCAGGATGAGAAGGAGGAAGGGAGGAGTCTGCGATGTTTTGCAGGGCCATCGGAGCAGATCTCCGCATGATTGGAGAGATCTCTTCGAAGAATCAAGCCGTCTTCGAAAAAGGCTTTAGCAATGAAATCCTCGTTTCGATCCCTGTTAACCGAAGAGTGTCTCCAAATTAGGAGTCTACATTGAACCGCTTGACTCTCAGATCCCTGCCAGGGCTGCGTCACGGGCGATCCTCCACGGCCGACGACACTTCTGGCAGCCTCGGCTGCTTGAACGAAGCTTTTAGCCAGCGCACATGACCAATACAACCAAGCGGCTTTCAGATCTACTTACGCAAGGGGCGCCTGCGGAAGTCCTTGCTTATTATATCTTATTATACTGTTGTGGGTATTAGGAATGGCTCAGAAGCCATCGGGATTCCACGCGTGTTTGGGCCGCTCGCAAGCCTCTGCGCTCAGGGCGTGTCTTCTCGAAGTCGTTGCATTTCTATACCGCGAAGCATCAAGGAAATAGAGGACGTGAGTCGACGAAACTTGGAGCCGTAAACCTGAGCCGGAGCTAGGCAGAAAGGCAAAACGACTAGGCCATGAACCAGCTCTACGGATACGTCCAGGACCAGACCCAAGGCCCCAAGGCTTCCCGATCCCATTGCAAACAGTGCCCTTAGTGTTATTTCCGACTCCAGTGGGTGCCGAGTTGAACAGAGGCTCCGGAACCTACGCACAGCTTGCGGCTGGAGGTCTCCCCGGCGGTCATTTTCCATACAGCATTCGGAGCATTGCTGCCGATGAAGCCTCGTTTTGCTCAAGCTCTTTTCAGACAGGATGATGTGTGCCGAAGAAGTGATGCCCTGCGAGAGTAGTAAGTCTTCGAACGAAGAAGACACAGCAAGCAAGAGCTCGTCAGGTTCCTCCGCATCAATCTCACGCAAAGCGCACAACTGGGTTCACGCCTGGTACCACACGACGACCTCCGTACTTGGGGCGATCGCTGTTGCCACGTTGCCCTTTGCGTTTGGCTACTTGGGCTGGTTTGCTGGCATTGCTGTGTGGCTCCTCAGCACACTTGTTTCATACTACTCTGCCCGCCTGCTGATCCAGCTTCAAGGTTCAGAAACAACTTATTCCCAAATTGCGAACAGAGTCATGGGAGATGGATTTGCAAAGTGGTGGATCCGTCCATTTCAGTTCATAGTCGTCTACCAGGTTACTGTTCTGACGGCACTAATGCTCGGGCAAACGTTCTTCGCCTTGGATGAAATGTTTTCGCCTGCAGCGCATCTGCAATCTTCATGGTGGACCATCATAGGTGGCGCCTTCACTTTCCTGATTGGGCTTTGTCCGAGCCTGTCACACATGTGGCAGGTCAGCTGTGTGGGCAGCATAGCAGTCGTGGTCTTCGTGGTTCTGACCTTCGTGGGGTGCATCCTAAGCATTCTTTCGCAAGAGGCGGATGTTGATTTCGCCCGTCCCAATGATGGCGAAGGCTTCGTCTTCGGTGTTATGAACAGCTTTGGGGTGCTCGCCTTCTCTTACGGCGGGCATGCGGTCTTGCCAGATTTGCAGGCATCCTTGCAGTCTCCCACGGTCGAGCGAGCCCATGCTGCGATGAACAGAGGGCTCATGGCTGCTTATGCCGTTATCGTACCATGTTATGCTGCCACGGCGACAGCAGCCTACGCTGCTTTTGGCGAGAACATCTCCAGCTACCTACTAGACAACTTCAGCAACCTTTCAGTTGCACTGTTGGCCTCCTTGCATGTGCTGCTCGCTGTCAACACCCTTGCGCTGGGTGCAATCTACATACAGTCCGGCTTTGCTCTTGTGGGGGATATGATCCCATCACTTAGCAGCGATGGTGACCGGTACAGCTGCAAGAACTTGTTGGTCGTTAGATTGCCCTGGGTGGCCACTGCTACATTCGTGGCTGTCGCGATACCATTCATTGGTGATGTGGCCTCGCTTTCTGGAGCGATCGGCTTCACTGCTATGACATTTGTCCACCCCTTCGTTCTGTGGGAAAACTCGCCTCTCGCGAGAGGTGCACCAGCTTGGAGGAGAGCCTGCCATGCCTTCTTGGCCTTTACCTTCGTAGCGCTCGGCCTGTGCAGTTTCGTGGGCTCTTTGTATTTCATCATCAAGGAATCCTCAACTTACACTTTCTTTTGACCTTTCTAGATGGCTCTTTTTCAGAAGAACATCTGTAGCCAGCACAGGCAGCAGGCAGCGCCAGAACTAGCACTGCTATGCACTGCACTGCAGGAATTGGGAGGCTGTACAGATCTTCGGGCTGGTAGCGAACCATGCCATGTAAAGTACGCCGAAGGTTTCCCTAGCCTGATGAGGCAAAGCTCCCATCTATGAAAATCAGATGTGCGCATGCCAAACAAAGACCACCGTTCGCAACATCTTTCAACGATGTAACGCAGCAGGAGCCACTAAGGTTGGTGCCGGGACCTTACGAAGCATAGTTCCACGTGCGTGGTGCACTTAAATCGCAGCCGCCGCAAGCGCCTCCACACTGAGGCGGGCACTTTGGTCCTTTGACTCGTCACTTCGCAACGCTTTGGGAGAGGCACTTCAACAGCGCGACTTCAGAGCGCCCCGTCCTGTGCTCATGCGAGCACCACAGCACCACTCCGATGCCGGATTCATGCGTATCATGTGAGTACGTATCTGGCTTGCACATTGGAAAAATACCAGTGTGCTGCAACACCTATCATTTGATGATTATCTCAGATCTGCTGCCTCATGCAGCGCGCATCTGCGAGGCAATTTCTGTCCCCCTGCTTTCATCTGCTCGATCCGTGGGTGAGGCAGGTCAGTTGCTTTCGAAATCCACTGCACGAATAAGGTGTCAGATTGGTCGTTCTTGGTCGTGCAGGAGCGATACGGCAACCGAAGTGTGGCAAGTCAGCTTTTTCTGCGTCCCGGCACTCTGCCGACAGGCGGGAAAGCTGTGACGAAGCCAGAAAAAAACGGAACCGTGCATGCCAGGATACGTCAACATCTACAGCCAAGTTTGTGTCAATGCAGGTTGCTCAGTATGCTCAGTGCAAGGACTGTCACGCACACTTGTGTGTGTAGCATCAATCGTGAACGAGCGTAGCTGCCTGAAGCGCTCTGGCTCGATGCCTCGACGTCAAAATAAGCTTTTAAGCTAGACTCCTTCGCTGTTGCCTTTGTCCACCATGGCCTCCGGCGATGCTTCCTTCGATGCTGCGGCCGTGGCAGAGCAGCTGGTGGCGGCGCTTGCAGGGGCCCGGCGCATGGGATGGGCACCCATGACGGGCCTCCTCACGGCGGACCAGATTGCCGACCTCATCTGCGAGCCTCATTTTGGAGGGGCAGGCTGACGCCTTGGCGGAGGATGTCCAGCTCTTTCCCACGTTGGTGACCGGCGCTTGCATCCCTTACCACCCTGGATCTTCGAGGACCAGCGTGCAGACCGGCGTGCAGCAAGTGGACCGTGACCCACGGATGATCATCGGCCGCGAGACCGCGCCCCGTATATCATCACGGGGTAGATGGTGTTCGGTGGAGATCAGCGAGTCGGTGCACCGCCAAGACTGTGCGGACACTCCAACTTCATCAGCGTTTGCTGCAGGCCCAGCCACTCCGAAGGCGCATTGCGGCCCCGGCGGACTACGTTTCTTGATGCCGGCGACGAAGGCCGAGGCCGGTGCAGGGCGGACCCTTTCGCGGCGGCTCGGAGTTGAGCACGGGCAAGATCAGAGCGCACTGAGCGCACCGCCGGACGCCGGACCCCAACGAGCCAGGTGCGGGTTGGGACGTAATCAGCGACTTCCGCAACTTCGCCGACGACCAACACGGCGCAGGCGCAGCCTGAGGTGCGAAGTTTATCCCTGCCGCTTGCCGTGGACCCTGGTTTGGTGGTCCGGCGGCTTCTTTGTCGAGTGAGTTCTTGGGTGCGGCATCGGCCGGCCAGCCGCCAGCCTGTGAATTCGACCTCCTGCGACGCGTCAACTATACCCGGACTTGCCCAACCTCGTCGAAAACATGACCGACGGCTTTAACATGATCGGCGACCTCAGACCTGGCCCAGGATGGAAGAACCGCACCGACGACTGGTAGAAGCACCGGGTGTGGTTGGAGTCATTTCAGCGCGGTCACCACTGACCACGGCGTGGTTCTCTGAGCCGGCGCGGTGGGTTAGGTGCGCCGGGTGCCGGGTGGGGCTGAGATGCCCGGCGCCAGCTTTAGGACTCGAGCCTGCGCGCCGAATGGTGCTGCCCCGCTTCTACAACGAAAGAAAAATCGTGCGTACCTTCTGGCGTCTAGATCTATAGAGCGCTGTGGTTGTTGTGAAGCACGCTTGTGTTTGCAGCAACAATTGCGAACGGCATAACTGCTTGAAGCACTCTGCCTCGACGTCAACGAATTTTTAAACCACCCTCGCAACCTTTTAGGGTGATCGGCGGAGGTCGATCCTTAGCGGGCCGGGGCTGGGATGCGCGCCCGCCGCCGCCGGCTTTAGGATTCGAGCCTGCGCACCGAACGGTGCTGCAGCGCTTTTATCCAAAACGAAAACAGGAATCGTCCGGACCTTTTCGCGTCTAGAGCTTTAGAGTGCGGCGGTTGTTGTCATGATCCTGGCTGCACCATCTTCAGTGGTAGCTGCCGAGGCATCCAAGAACCTTACGGACACGGAGACTTTACTAGGTGTGCTTCCAACCGAAGAGGCAGGTCCTGCATGGGACGAGCGCGCAGGCACTTGATCATTGTCTGTCAGGTCTGTGGCTACACGACTTTCGCAGTCAACCACTTGTCACTCCCTGCGCCACCGCTGTCCATGACCACTGAAAGGCACGGGAGCATTACTGTCGCACACTATAAACTCGCTTGGGCATCGGGGGTCTTGAGGCCATGGAGACGTGTCGCAGCAGTTGATGAGGCTGAATTGCTGTGGGCATGAGCTTCTGTTACGGCCCCTGTATCAAAGAGTGCTGCACGGGCGGGTTTCTGCAAAATTAGAGGCCATCATCACCGCCCGCCCCCTCCACCGGCCTGCACGGTGACCAGTGCAAACCCATCCCCCGAACTCGAATGTGAGAGATCGTAGGTTTGAAACTTGAAAGTACGTCAGAAAGATGCATGGGTTGAATTGAGAAGTTTGGGCACTTTGGTACGTGTGAGCGTCCGTGCTTCAAACTCGGGCTTTTGAAAACAGTCCGACTTTCTCCAACCGTCAGCCGTGGCTTTCAAAGTCTCATAATTTGAAACCTGCCCTCAGTAGGGGATGGCAGTTGAGTTCGAAAGGCAGGCGATCGGAGAGTGATCTCACACCTCAAATCCGTCCCCTTAAATCCCAGCACCTCAATTTGGGCGAGTGCGGTTGATCCCATTGCCCATATCTGTCCACATCTTAAGTAGGCCCCCTCACTAGGCGATCGCGGTTGATGCCATGTCTTAAACTCCCCCCCCATTACGGTTGATCCCGAATCTGACCATCTCTTAAACCTGCCGCCTCATGCAGCGAGTGTGGATGTCCATATAATCCCAATCTGCCAGGCTGTGGGAGGTGGGTGGGTGGGTCTTCGATGGCTCCTTCCTTTCAGGTCTTAGCTGCAGCAGCGGCCGGCGCCGAACTGCGCCTGGTGGGAGCGCCACCCGCTCCGGGAGCTGCTCCGCAGGGCCCGCCCGTAGAGGCAAAAGGAGCTCTTGGTTCTCACCCGAAGCCTCCAGCAAACTCGATGCTGGCTCAGGCAGAAGTGGGCGTGGACTCTCTGGCCATCCAGCGTCTGCGGGTCTTGGAGGACGTTCTGTTTGTGCGGGAGGTCGTCGAATCTGCACCACCCGGAAGGATTTGGAAAGCAATGCAATGCGTGCAGAGCAGCTGCAGTGTGGCTGGCTGGGAGCAGCCGCTTGGATGTTGCATTTCCAGCATCGTTGACCCTGAGTCACTCAACCCTGAATCCTAAAAACTTGCCCTAAATTTCACAAACCTTGCAAGCCCTAACTCGTTGACAAGTCCCGGGCTTTAGGCCCTGCCTGTCTATAACCCAGGTACCTGTGTCTTTGGAGAGAGGTTTACTGCATCATCATAATCTGCGTTGACATAACTCTCCTTCACACGTTCCACGACCAACTTGTAAACACCTTCATACTTTCTAAAGTTATGGATTTGCAGACGCAGCTCCGTGATATACTTGATGCCGCTGGTCATTGGTAAATTCGGTTGTATCGCTTACGGTAAGCTCTAGTATTTGGCTCCAGTTTCTTGCTGGCTGTACTGTACTTGTAGGGCCCTTCCTCCATCTCTTCCATCTCGCGGTAGTATGTATCCGTCGATTTCCTTAATCCTGCACCATCCTGCACCGCGTACAGTGAGACACAGCCTCGCTCAATGAGTACGAGGCTTTCAATTTCCGTGCCTTGTTTGTCCCCATTGCGAGCGGGAGGGGTGTCCACATCGCCCCTGCTGCAACCCCTCCTCACCACCCGGCGCGCGCCGCTCCATCGCGCGCACTGCACCAAGCGGGGACAGGGTTCCCGGACTCTGTCGTTGCAGTAATGACTAATGAGTATTCCAATTCCGTAAGAGTATCTGAAACCATAATCCTGTTACGATTTTCACGGCGCCATCCTCTGAGTGCAAAGTGGGCAAAGCGGATAGTAATTCTGATATCAGAATGCCAAGTTGACGTTTCGTATTCTATTGCTGAAGACGAACATGGATTAATTTCAAATACGATGCTGAAACATGACATCGACTCATCATCCTCCAGGATTCAGTTTTGTCACCATGCGGCATGCCATCTTGCTGTGCTGCTAAGTTGTGACACACTTTTAGTCTAGGGAAGACCGAGCAATGCATCCGACAGCCTGCAAAGCCTTACATCAAAACAACTGTAGAGACGGATTGTGTCACAACGGGCCCAATGGAATCATGAGTGATGAGTGATCTCTGGTGGTGGAATAATAACCTTCGGAAAGATGTATAGGTTTTCGGCAGGCTGAGGATTGAACTCTGTTGTTTCCGACGTTTTTCGAAGGTCCCATAAGTCACGAATCGAACCCTTTTGAACTGCCCCTCTATCCTTGGTAATGACAAGGCTGCATCCTTTGATGGTTTAGATGATCTTCCTTATACCCCTTATACATCTTGTGGCGGCTCGGACGGCGCGGGCGCCGGGAACGGTGCGGACGGCACACTTGCGCAGGCGCGGAGCAGACGGCAAGGACGGTGCTGCCCAAAAGTGCAGACACGCTTTCCGACTGCAGTGTTTGTTCACATCTCGAGCACATTCGCGATCCGTTTTTTGACTCTGTTCCCCTTACACGTTTCTAGCAGGATGATCTAGTTTATCGGTAAAGATTTTTCCCACAACATGGGCAGTTTTATTTGGTGGTCGCTTCACGTAGAAAGAACATTAGATTCTCCATGTACTCCTTTGTCCGACCAGTTATGCGATGTTCTTGGCATCCTCTATTGACGCGTTTTCATGTTGTCTGGAACTTGAGGGCTAAACTTGCTGGAAAATACGAAACCGTGACCTGTTGACAAGTTCCAGCCTCTAGCCCTCCCAGGTGGAGCCCGAGGATAGCACCACGTTGTTGGGGGCACTCCTTCTGTGCCTTACTCAGTTGGTTTCGGGATTTTCGGGGACATAGTTTTAGGAGCGGAGATCTTGTTCAACAAAGCTGGAAACCCTGTTGAAGCGTGGTGGCACAGTCGTCGCAGCAGCGGCGGCAGCGTTCATTCGGTCGTCGTACTTGTCGGGGCAGCAGCAGCGGCGGCAGCGTTAGTTCTGTCGTTGTACTTGTCTGTCATGGCAGCAGCAGCGGCGGCAGCTTCAATTCTGCCGTCGTACTCGTCGTGGCAGCAACAGCGGCAGTAGAGTTAGTTCTGTCGTCGTACTTGTCGTGGCAGCAGCAACGGCAGTAGCGTTAATTCGGTCGTCCTACTCGT